ATTTTATTAGAGATATGCACGTCCACAACACATAAATTTATATAAATCTGCAAATATATATATTTTTAATTTTTAATTAGACCGGTTTTTAATTTCAAACTGCATTAACATAATTATATTATTACAAATGTTTTTAAAAAAAGTTTTGCAAATTGATGCGCTTTTATTAAACGCTCGTAAACGACTACTCATTTACTCTGATAAGTTTCTGTTTTTGCTCATTTAAGTACTGTTGATAAGCGTCTGACTATGACCGTACATACTATATATAACATAAACTATAACTTTTCAGTTCTGACAATATAATAATAAGACATGACCTTTGATCTATTAACTTTTAAGGCTCATATATTTGATTCTTTGTATTTTTTTGCATGCAAACTTGAAATTCAGTTTGTTATCTTGTTTTATTCTAGTAATTTGGTAGATTACACGCAATCTATTACAATACGACAAATTGCATTATGTGCAACAGACTTTAGATTTTTTAAATAATTGTCTATATAAGCAACTAATGCAGAAAGGTTATCGGTGAAAATAATAAAATAATATGATTCAATAACATACACATGACTTTCATTAAATTTGTGTAAGAAATCACTTCTTAAAATCTTCTGCATTACTTATTGTTAGTATTTACTTTATATACAAGGTGTCTCATTTTAATTTCCCCAGGCAAATATTTCGAAAAATACGCAAAATACCAAAAAAATGTTTTAAACAAAAGTTGTAGGATATGAAGAGGGACAAATAATGGTAAAATTAATTTCCTCAAAAATCGAATTCCAAGATAATATGAAAGTCATTTCATTTAAAAAAAATTAATATATGATTTTTTAAAATAATGATTTCTTTGATTGATAAATATGATTTTGCAGCAAAATCTAAATCGCAAGTTGAAAGTTGTGTTGGAAATCAGCAGATGTACTTATTTGCAGCTATCCACTTGTAGTTGATAAAAATGTGCCAGTTATACATTTCGTAACAACTGCACCTTGCCAGCCTAATCCTCCAGTTTTGCAAAATGAAATGGAAATTAACGCAACGTATCAAAAACGATAGCACAATTAAAAATGCTTCACCATTGTTATACCACTCCTTTCCACTTTCAGCTGATACTGCTATTACTCCGGTACCTTATAACGATTATAAATCCATATTTTCCAATACTCCCTTCCAGCCGCAGTTTAACCAGCGTACCAATTATTCTAATTACAAATTTGGAAGCGCTCTGGGAAAAGCACTTTGTACGAGCAATGGTTCGAATTACCAACGATACACTATCCACACAGTGTTTATTTAAATGCTCCTACAGTTCCATTCGTAGGAAAATCGGGATTTATTCATATTTATTTGCCTTTGCCAAATATGCACCGTCCGTACCAAATATAAATACAAATAAATAAATGCCAATGTATCAATCTGTCTTCATGTATCCTGTTAACAATTGTGTGCAAAATACTGATATGCCGGCAGTCACGAATGAATTATCATGCGGCCGCAAGCGCAGATAATATAGCATACAGTACTAAACATGCATTTTCATATTATACATTCAATAGTATAGAATAAATTCGATGTAAATTAATTTATTTTTAT